AGATATTCACATAGAAAACAGCTGATTTACATTAGAATAATATTTTACAATTTTACTGTATTTTTGATCAAATAAATACAGTCTTGGTGAGCAGAAGAGGCTTTCAAACACATCTTACTGACCCCAAACCGAGTCTTTGTTACACTGTTCAGCCTGAATGAACTGAAACAAAAGCAGAACGTGAACACTGGAGGAGCGTCGGCAGATGATGCTAACACTGAATCTTTCTTCACTCATCGCTGGTGATTCTCACACGAGCACACAGATGTGAGGGATTCAAACTCCACATCAACAGCCCAGAGGCTTCAGACACGTTCGCTCATGTGTCGACCAACTGTTGGGCTCGTGGAGACGGAAAGAGCTGCTAAACTCGCACGCATCTGTAAAACACGGCCAGCACAGCTGATGCAGGAGCAATCTGATCATCTGATCACTGATTCCTGCAGCTCGCGCTTGGTGTACATTACCTTCATCAGCTGTGAGCCACTTCAACAGCGTTATTATCACTAAAACTACAACCATACACAAATATCTTCCTTACTTGAAATAAAATAAATATTAAACAAAAGCACAAAGAATACTAGATGAAATAAACATAAAAAATAATTAAAAAAATAATATAGTATCTCAACATTACTAACAAATGTTATCTGAAAAAATAAAAATATTAAAATAAAATTGAAATAAAAATTAAGAAAAACTATAGACATTCAAAACTATATAAAATGAAAATGGAAAATATAAAAACTAAATCAAAATATATATGAAAACTATAACAGTATCTCAATGATACTAATAAACATCATCGTAAATAAAATAAAATATTAAAAAACATATTGCAGATAGTTGCCAAAGCAACATTTCATTTTCAACATTTTCATTTTGATCTTTTAAAATGACTAAAACTGAAATAAAATTAATAAAAGCTACCTATACATTTAAAAATAATAATAAAAAAGTGACAAAAATACCAAAAACTACTAAATGTTTAACTAAAAAAAAAAAAAGGAAACAAAAAAAAAAAAAAAAAAAAAAATCAAAATAATAAAAACTATAACAGTATCTCAATCACACTAAAACGGCACCGTCTCTGATGTCTGATTGTCTCCTATTTGTTGAGAGAACTGAAGGTGGTTTCATGATGATCAATGCGTGTTCTGGGATCATCATCTTTCCAGCGAATCACTCTGATAGTCTGATAGTGGAGAGACGCCACAGAGGAGCACTGCAGACGTGTGTCTGTCTAAACCAGAGCTCCGCAAACTTTTGGGCATGAAGTGCCACTTTTCATTTTTCTGGTTAACCACTGTGCCATTACCCCCAAATACATTTTTTAATGCATGCTGTACATAAGCATTTTTAAATGTTCAGATGAAAATCTATATTTGATTATCATACAAATATTTTCTGAGACATTTTTTTCTAAATTGACAGAGATATCGTGCTGCGCACACACAGAAACATTCAGGAGCTCAGAAAATTGTCTGCCCCGCGACTTTATCAATACTGAATCACTACATTATATGTATATATTTACATATTTTTTTTAAATAACTAACTCAGCTTCATTGTTTGTAGAGACCCAGACGCAGGAAATTCACACATGCAACTTTCATCTCTCTCTCTCTCTCTGTCTCTCTCTCTTTCAAAAGCGCCTTTTTATTGAATGGATGTCAATGGAGGAGAGGCTTCACTATGCTGAATAAACAGCTTTTTAGAGGAAACAGCTCGTCATTTAATGAATCGACAGCCTATCTGCTAATCTACAACATGTTTTACATTAAACAATACTTTTGGATTGAACTATTTTTTGAGTTTACCATGAAAAAAATGCTGTTTTATAAGAGAAGTCACTGATTTTTGCGACAGCTGGGATTCAGTTTACGGCACTCTCATTTATTCCTATGGGGATTGAACTATTTTTAGAGTTTACCATGAAAAAAATATCACTGACTTTTTGCGACAGCTGGGATTCAGTTTACGGCACTCTCATTCATTCCTATGGGATCCGTAAACGGCGACTGAGTGTCGCACAACTCTGATTGAAATTCAATGATGGCAAGGCTGTATTGTGATTGGTTATTAAGGGACACGTGATCCGAGTTAGCCGTTATGCTTTCTCCAACAGTAAATAATACAGACCCTCTCATCTCCCTATAGTAAGACGATCTCTGACATGAAGCTAAGACAAATAGGAAATTGAGATAAACAGGAAACAGAGAAATGGGAAGCTGAGAGAGACAGAACAAATAAGAAACTGAGATTCATAGGAAGCTGAAAGAAAGAGGAAACTAAGAAAAATGGGTGAGATACACAGCAAGCTGAGAAAAACAGGGCCTTGAGAAGCACTGAAAACTGAATGAGAGAAAACAGACAACTGAGTGAGACAGGAAGAGGAAACACAGCAGAGTCTCTCTCTCTCTCTCTGTGTGTGAATGTGTTACTAGCATCACCCACACTGAACTCCTGCCATAAAGCCTGCTGGTTAATGACCTGCATTTTCTCATAACACTAATATGTATTACCTGAGCCAGACGAGAAGCTAACAGAGACAGGAAACAGAGTGAGACAGAAAGACGGCAAACAGCAAAACAAGACAGACAGGGAAATCAAAGACAAGAAGCCGGAAGAGACAGGAAGCCAAATGAACAAAAAGCTAACAGAGAGGAAACAAAGTGAGAAAGGTTGAGTTAAGAAAAAAAGAAATTGGGAAAAACAGGAAGTTGGGAGACAGGAAGCTGAGAGAAGCAGGAAACTGAGTCAGACAGGAGGCTCAAAAAATAAAGAAATTGAGATACATAGGAAGCTGAGACTAACAGGAAGTTGAGAGGAATAGGAAACGAAGTGACACAGGAACAAACACACACACACACACAGTCCTAATGGTACTCGTAGTGCTGCATATAATTTAGACTCCTTGCACAAACTTCCACATTTCTCATTTTAGTAACAAAAGCTATTTAACACAGAAATGCGTATTGTAAAAGATAGTTCATAACAACTCGAGTTTTTGCATAGCATTGTATTTAGTGGAACAAACATTCCCCGCAGCACATTTCCATTTCTGAAAACGCACACACACACACACAGAGAGAGAGAGAGACACACGTTATAACGCTGGGTTCAGATCACAGAGAAAGACCTCTGAGCCGGATCCTGGACGGTGATTATCACTACATTGATCTACAATACACCATCAAACTCCATTTTCATTTTTTTCGCTCAGCTAAATCCATATCCAGGACAGCGTTTCTCCAGCCAAGCCATTACCAGCGAGTCCATGGAAGCCTGTTAACAGACAATGTGCAAATCAATTTCCTTTGACTTTGTTACGGGGGCCTTTTTGAACGGCTCCCTGAGGGGCTCTTCAGTCCCGTTCTGCAGCTCGTGGTGTTTACTGATCCTTGGAAAATTTTAAGGAAATCGGTAGACATTAAACAGAAGAGGGAATAAAACATGGACCTGCTCTGAAATAGACGTGGATATTAGTCGGCCAATGAACCGATGAAAGATGTCTGATATATCACTCTGTTTTTTCAGACTAGAGCTTTTGTCACAGATTCCAGCCTTTTGAAACTCTTTTTTTTTTCTGCACACGTCTGCTTGAAAACAGTGGTCTGGGGTACGGTTATAATGATAGTAATCCTGATGATAATAATTAGATGTGCTGCGAAGCACTGGTATAGTGCAACATTGCCATCTTGTTATTATTGTGAGTTGTTCTTCATGTAAAAGCTCAATCTTTCTCCTGGCGATAGAAGTGCATGTCAAGGCATTGAGTACCCTCACTGCCCTAGGAATAAAACCGCTGCCGAGTCTTTTGGTATTGGCAGGAAAAATGGTCGCAAAATGTGAGCCTTTAGTCTCAATCTGGAGCCCTGGCTGGGAGAGAGAGTAAAGTTCCAGTAATTGTTGTTTTTACCATGAGCTGCAGTGTCTTGAGGTTTGGAGCATTGAGGTTTCAAAAGAGAGGGAAACCTGTTGATGTTCTCAAAGGTTCTTCTGTACCTTGTTCTCCTCAGTCTCCAAAGAAAGGTTGCTTTCTTGTCTAGTGAGGTTATACTGAGGGACTGGGGGAGTTCGGCTGTGATGTACAGACCCAGAAACTCAAATCTCTGCAGGGCATCACTGGTGTGCAGAAGAAGGTGGTCCGCGTAGAACTGTCTTTGTTTTGTAGATATTCAAAGGCAGGATAGTGTTGCTTGCACAAAGGTACACTAGACCAGTGGTTCCCAACCACATTTCTGGAGCGTTCCCAACACTGCACATTTTCAGTGTCTCCTTTCATGTCTTATAGTCTCGACTAATGTGCTGATGACCTGTGTGCTTGATTAAGGAAGCATGCAAAATGTGCAGTTTTGGGGGGCTCCAGGAATGAGGTTGGAAATAATTTCACTAGACTCCACCTCCTCTCTGAATGTCGGCTTGTTTTTGTTAATAAGGGTCACCATTGTGAGGTCTTTGGCAAAGATGTTTGTACTATGCTTAGCAGTGCAATGTTGAGTAATCAAGGTTGTCAACATTTAGGGTTAGGGTTAAGAGAATATGGCCAAAAAAAAAAATATATTTTTTTATTTATAAAACTATATATATATATATTTTTTTTTTTAAATTTATTTTTTTTTTTTTTCATATCAGGTGATATCAATAATTATCACGATAAATCTCAAATCTTTATTTCTTTCCAGTTTAAAGGCAGATTTTTGCTCCAAAGTTGGAGTTGTAGAAACCAGACTGTTAACTGTGGTTTTAAACTATTCTTTATGGTCAGAACATGACAAACACTTCACGTTTTTGAAACCATCTTAATAGAAAAATGTATTTATTTGTTTCTGCATGTTCTAATGAGTGATATTGTTTCAAATCAAGAAACAGGTTTGTGTTTCCTGATAATAGTAATACTAATGTTACTTTTTTGTCTCTTAGAAATGCACATTTGACAGTAGTAGTATAGCTTGAGTTAGGATGCAGATTTAAATTTATGTTCATTATCAAAATCAGCAACATCTGTAAAAACTGTAGATGTGTAGATTGAAAAGTCTTCTGACTGTATCGTTGCACACAGTGTTTCTCCTGGTTGTCAGCGCTGTTTCATCTGGCTTTAAACTAGTTTAACTTGTTATCGTTTTATCAAGAAACACTATATTGCGATAATTGTCGTTATTGAGTAATCGCCCAGCCCTTATTTAGACCAGTGCGATCACATCAGGAAGTCCAGGATCCAGGAACAGGGGATGGGTCAGATGGAGAGCGAAATCAGTTTTTCGTGCAAGGTTTGAATCAATGATTGCCTAAACCTGGGGTGGCAACTCTGACCCTTGAGGTCCACTGTCCTGCAGAGCTTAGCTCCAAGCCTAATCAAAAACACCTGAAAAAATCTAGCCAAAGCCTTCAGGATAATTTCAAAATACTCTGCAGGACAATGCATCTCGAGAGCCAGAGTTTCCCTCTCCTGATCTATGAACATAATTCTATAATGGGTGTTCGTTTTCCTGATGTGACATCATAATGTAAATGGTTAGGTTGCACACTGGAGGGAGTCCAGAGAGGTTGGCAGCGTTGACTTTATGCGGTTCTGGACTAGTTTCTCGAAGCACTTCACAATGATTGGGGTGACTCACACAGGCCGGATGTCATTGAGGCAGGACACATTTGACTTCTTTGGAAATGGTATGATGGTGGTGGATTAGAAGCAGACAGGAATGACAGCCTGGCTCAGCAGGTTGTCTGCGGATCAGCTAACTGGTTAGCACACTTGCAGGTGTGTTGTCAAATCTGTCTGTTTTAAACAGATCTCGTTTCTTGTCATTTCTTGTCTAAGGTTCAGTTGGACAAACACAGCGCCTGATCTTCGAGAAGAGGTGACAGTAACATTCTCCATAATGACTAAAATCATCTATGCAACTGTTAATGCAGATGATGCATATTCCTCCAAACCGATGATATACTTCGTTGCATCTGCCTCTCTAAACACGCTCCAGTCGGCACACTCCAGCAATCCCGCAGTGCTGACATAGCTCCTTCTGGCCATACTCTTATCCGCTTTGGCTCATTTCAGTGGCACTCTGTATGCAGGTATTAGCGTAAGAAAGATGTGGTCGGAGAAGCCCAGGGGAGGCGGCATGCTGCACTGTATGTGTTTGTTTCAATGTTCCATGTTTCAATTAAAATAAAGACACAGCATGTCTTCATCTCCCTCTGAGTTGACTGCTGCAGCATCTGGTAGCCCAGTTTATTTCACAAAGAATAGACGTTGCATAAGAGAATCAATGGTAGGGCTTGGTCTTTAGCCCGTCTTGGACTCTAGCCCTCTTTGCCCATTTCCGTTTACTCTGGCGCTGCTTGCTGCGCCTCCTCTGTTGGGTTGTTGTATTGTCACTTCAGGACCCGGCCCTGGTCAGTAATGCCTCAAGCTTCTCAATTAGCTGTGTCTGGACATTTTACAGACTTCAGGCTGAATCATAAACATGAACAGCATTTAACGCTGAAACATTCGTGACGTGTAGTTTAGCTTTTTTCTAGAATCGAGTGAGGCGCTGAGTCCGCGACCTTGAGTTCTATTCATTGTCAACACATTTGATGGAGAAACGAATATTATTATTTTATTAGCAAAACACGTACATGCAAAAAAGAATAGAATATTCGCAGCATCACCTCATTCAGAGATGCAGGACTTTTCAGTTGCAGGCATGTAGCTGATGCATTGGTGCGCACAAACACAAGAGCGACCGCGACATCACAAACAACGCTGGCGGCCTAGCTATCGCACAAAATGCTTTCAATGCAGCCGAATGTGTATCAGAAAAAGAAACACTAAGTTCCTCAGAAACAGTTTGCGGAAATGAGCTAAATGAAAGTTTGTGCGGTGTGTTTGGATAATTGAATCGGAGCCCAGATGAGGAGGAGGAGTCACCGGCGAGCAGAACGGCCCGACGCGACTCACTGCTCTGGGTAATGGTGTTTTCTTTTGCTGGGAAATGAAATATAAGGCCATTAAAGAAACACACACAGAAGGATGTGTC